CCACCACACCCGGCACTTTTCCCTGCAACCGCAGGAAGTGCTACACCTGCCCCCATACCTCCTCCCTCACCCCCATCCCAGGCCCCAAGAAGACTTTCCACATCAAGCAGATGTTCACCTGCACATCTGCCAATGTGGTATACTGCATCCGCTGTACCCGGTGTGGCTTCCTCTACATCGGGGAAACCAAGCGGAGACTCGGGGACCGCTTTGCAGAACACCTACGCTCGGTTCGCAACAAACAACTGCACCTCCCAGTCGCGAACCATTTCAACTCCCCCTCCCATTCCTCAGACGACATGTCCATCCTGGGCCTCCTGCAGTGCCACAACGATGCCACCCGAAGGTTGCAGGAACAGCAACTCATATTCCGCTTGGGAACCCTGCAGCCCAATGGTATCAATGTGGATTTCACAAGTTTCAAAATCTCCCCTCCCCCCACCGCATCCCAAAACCAGTCCAACTCGTCCCTGCCTCCCTAACCTGTTCTTCCTCCCACCTATCCCCTCCTCCCACCTCAAGCCGCACCTCCATCTCCTACCGACCAACCTCATCCCGCCCCCTTGACCTGTCCGTCCTCCCTGGACTGACCTATCCCCTTCCTAACTCCCTACCTACACTCACCTTTACTGGCTCCATCCCCGCCTCTTCGACCTGTTTGTTTCCTCTCCACCTATCCTCTCCTCTATCCCTCTTCTATCCGCCTCCCACTCTCTCCCTATTTATTTCAAAACCCCCTTCCCCTCCCTCTTTTCTGATGAAGGGTCTAGGCCCGAAACGTCAGCCTCTCTGCTCCTATGATGCTGCTTGGCCTGCTGTGTTCATCCAGCCCTGCACCTTGTTGTCTCAGATTCTCCAGCATCTGCAGTTCCTACTATCTCATCCTCAGCTGGAAGTGGAAAGTATGAACCATTGTGGCCTCCTTCAGATGTTGTCACCATTCCAGATGCTGATCTTCAATCAAAACAATTCACTCTTCCTGATGTCAAGAAACAGCTGGCAGCATTCCTACTGCAAAGACTATGGGCTCTCACAACATTCTGGAAATAATTTGTGCTTCAGAACCTGTTGCATTGCTAACCAAACATATCCAATACAGCCACAACACTGGCATCTTATCTGACAGAGAGAAAAATTGGCCAGGTATGACTTTAACAGAAAAAGCAGGACAAATCCCACCTGGCCAATTACTGCCTCCATCTGTCTATTCTTGATCATCAGTTAAGTGATGGATGGTGTCATCAACAGTGCCATTAAGCAGCACTTGCTTAGCAACAATCCCACTGAGGCTCAGATTGTGTTCCACCATGGCTCCTCAGCTCCTGATCTACGTTACCACTGGCAAGAAATGATCTGGACTAGCTATACAAAAACTGTCGCTACAAGAGCAGGTCAGAGGTTCGGAAACCTGCAATACACCTCCTAACTCCCTAAAGCCTATCCACTATCTACAAGGCACAAGTCAGGAGTATGAGATAACAAAGTGTGGAGCTGGAGGAACACAGCCGGCCAGGCAGCATCAGAGGAACAGGAAAGCTGACATTTCAGGTCGGGACCCTTCTTCAGAAATGGGGAGGGGGAGCTCAGAAATAAATAGAGAGGAGGGGTGGAGCTGGGGAAAGTAGGTGGGATGGTGATAGGTGAATGCATGCAGGCAGTGTCAGTAGTCAGGAGTATGATATTTCTTAGCATGTTCCAAATTGCTTCACTGCTTCATATACTTTCGAAATGTTTTTGACAGCTGAAATGAGGTATATACAATAGCAAATTCATGTTGTCATGAAAATTTTTTACATTTGTTTAAGAGGACAAATGACACTCATGTTCACATCTCATCTGTGAAACAGTACCTCTGACAATGCACCTCTGTGTGGCACTGGAATGTCAGCTGAGATGTTTGTTTCAAGCTTCTGGAGTGGGATATGAATCAACAGCCATCCTAACTACAGCAAGACCAAGTGACATTTAAAAAGAGATATTAAAGGTGTGAAAATCTTTATTGCAATTCTAGTTAGAGATAATCACAATGCTGTTTTTAACAAACTGCAGCTTCGGATCTACAACACAAAAAATACATTAAAACAAGGATTTAAAAATTGTTAAAGTGCTGATTTTAATAAAAAAATCTCATAATCCAGGATTATACAGCAAACAGCAAGTGACAGTTTTGTAGTAATTGTTGACATTCATTGGGTATAGAACAGTATGAAGGAAACTAAGTCAGTGTCACACCAAGTGACAGTTGTTAGCACCATAACTGTCAGAAAGGCACAGGTGAACACCGTCATAATGATTACTTGAAAACAGTGCTGAAGGTGTCTCTTGTGACACAGTGGTAATGTCTCTATTCCTGAGTCAGGAGGCCCAAGTTTGCATCCCACCTGCTCCAGAGGTGTGTGATAACATCTCTGAATGAATTGATTAGAAAACATATTTAAAAAGTCCTGATTACATAATTACTTTGTGATTCGTACATTGAAACATGACTGCACAGCATTGCTTACAACTAATTCTGAGATCTATTTCCAATTTTGGTTAATTAATGTTTGGAACACTTAGTATCTGAGCCTCAAGTCCTAAGGTTTTTGAACCAAGTAGGGTGATTTGAGGGGTGTTTCACTTCTGTCTGACTCATAGCTGAACAAAAGGGGCTGATTTTTCATTGTTGGGGAGGGAGATGTTGAGGATCTAGCCTGGGATACTGGGTCATGAGAATGAGCTGTCGTCAATTTTGGATTTTTTGAAACAATTTGGCAGCAGACCTTTAGATAACGGCCTCTGATGTGTTTAAAAAGTAGAAACTTCAGAATCATACCAAAACAGGCAGAAATCTGAAACTTCCAGCCCTGTACAAGATGCTTTGAGACTCTCTTTTATGCAGCCCATTCTACCCAAGAGCAGAGTTCAGACTATACACAATAAACAGTGAAACTTTAAGATATGTCAGTATTAATCATTTACTATCACTTGGGCCAGAACTCAGCTTCAAAAAGTTTATCTCACTATTGTCCCATCCATCAATCCCACTGGTATACTTCACATAATTTGAGTATCTCCATTTAACATATATAATACAAATTTATTTCAGAAGATGGGGACTGGATGGGATAATGCATAAAATTAAATAGAAATAACCTTGACAAGTGCTGTGGTGCAATAGTGCTCATTTTCAGGTAACTGGAATCTGCAGGCATACTCAATAAGTACATTGTCTTCACTGAGTTAATATTGCACTTAAAATTTTTCAAGTATCTCCCAGAGCAGATCAGATTTGCTAGCTGATTGGTACCTTAGACTACACAGCACAGCCCTCAAAACAACATGATATACAGTCCAAGGGCAGCAGATCTTATTAGCCAAAGAAAGATGTTGCTTGAATTGAAAGTTGTTTTTTAAATCCATGGTTTCATTCCAACCAAAGATGTACAAGTGTCCTGTTTGATCCATTTCACACATTGTTTCAAGTTCCTAACAACAATGAGGTTAGAAAGGAGGAGTTTTCATTCATAAAAACTCACTTACCTGTAGAATTCTACCTTTCCTCATCTTGCTGCTCTGTAGATATAAACTGAGACTACTCAGTCTCCAGGTTTGAACGTTCTAGTGAACAGCAAAGATTTCACTGAATTATCAGCAAATAATTTAGCTCGTGCTAGGCTGAGTTTAGTTATCAATAACCAATTTATAAAGTGAGCCTTTATAAAGGTTCACTTTATGGAAGTTGATGGAAGGATTGAGAACCAGACGACACTAATTTAAGGTGGTTGCCAAAAGAAGCAAAGGGAACACAAGGAGAAAACCATTTTACATAGCAAGTAGTTAGGATCTGGACTGTACACCTTAGAGTGTGGTAGAGCCACATTCAATCGTGGCTTTCAAGGGCGATTGGAAATTATGTACGTACATAGCTATAGAAAAACAGCAGGGAGCAGGACTGGTGAGATGCTCTTGCAGAGAGTCGGCACTGACACAATGGGCCGAATAATTACAGCACAGAAGGCTAGTCTGTCACTATATGCTATTTATAGCCATTGCAGAAAGGAACTATTATGTTTAATCTATTTGGATATTTGGTTCATTTGTAGGGAAGGTTGCAGTGAGTCTGTGATCTCTGTTACTCGTAGTAAGAAACAGTGCTTACACCATGATCATAATAATGACAAATCTCCACTAGCATCAGGGATCTTTACTAGTACCAAATCACTATTACTATTAAGATTAATATGACAAGCATGAAATCTCCACCAGCACCAGAGTTATTGCAAGAATCAGTACATGGGTTAATTGCAATATTCTTGCTTACTTCTCCTCTAGTCTCTCTTTACCAGTCTCTCTATCATCTCTTCTGCCTTGCACCATTTTCCCTATTGTCACTGAATTGTTCCTGCCTTCCAAATTATCACAAACATTCCTTTTGTTTTTTCTCCTCTCCCATTAACCTGCCTCTGTACTAGCTTAATGCCTGTAACACATTTCTAACTTTTTTACATTTCTGATAGGAAGCCATCAATTTGAGATGTTTAACTCTGTCTTTCTCTCCACATATGTTGCCTGACTTGCCAGTAGTTCCAGCATTTTCTGTTTTTAATTTCACATTTCTAGCTTCTTCAGTATTGTGCTTTTGTTTGTGTCACTATTTGTAATGATCCACAATTTCAGCATGGTTATTACGAGTAACAAATCACAACTAGCACTAGATCACAATAGTAAAAAACTATCAACTAGTATGAGTCAATCGTGCTGTTGCTGAGGAAGGATGAGAATTCAACCCTGAATTAAGAGGGACCCAGTTTTACAAGAGGAACCTTGATCCCCAGGAAGGAATTAGGAAGAGCAGGTTTTAATGGGCATGTGGGACACACAGGCAAGGTCACGTGATTCATTTTGATGGCCACGTTTGCTCTGATCACTTCATAATTTTTATTTTTGTCTTGGAACAAGATGATTCGGCAAATGCGTGTATTCCCAGTCTAATATAATCCTACTAACATAACAAAAATAAGGTACTGCACGAGAGGCCAATTTCCAAGACAATGCAGCATTTCTTATCCTGAGTGAATTGTTCTGCTCGGTTACAATTGGAGAATTGAAGCCCTTGATTCCAACAGGTTTCTGAACCAACCTAACTCCAGCAGTCTGGACCTCTCAGGTTTAGTGTTAACTTCACTCTAGCTTTTTATTTCTAATGCATCATTTCACCCACCCAGATAGAATTTCCTAGGTATGTAGCTCCTGCACCTGTAAGTTCATGGTTGAAACAGAAACTCAGTTTGATTGGTGCTAATCTGATCTTTCTTCTGTACGCAGCTGGAAACGAGCAAAGCTGAGGAACACTTGCTCAAGGGAGATCTGGTTGACTGAATAATCCTTGATATTGTATTTCTCCTTGGCCCTTTCTAGTGTGCCAAATATCTGCAAACAAGGGGAGGAAAATGGAAGTAATTTTCCATTTACAAGCAAGCATGATAATAACAAACACGAACTACTAGTAATATCAGTTGACAGTGAACAAAAGAGTAATCTCAGCAAGCGACAAGTGAATTATTGATAGGTTAGTTACATGAGTTAAAAGTGAATACTATTCATGGGTTAATGTCAGCAATGAGTACTATCAATACGTTAGTAACTTCGGTTAACAATGAGTACTGTCAATGGATTAATAACTCAGTTACAAAATGTGTACAAAATGATCAGAGGTATAGATAGAGTAGACAGCCAGAGACTTTTTCCTAGGGTGGAGGTAGCTTTTACGAGGGGACATAGTTTTAAAGTGAAAGGAGGTAGATATCGGGGAGACATCAGAGATAGGTTCTTTACTCAGAGAGTGGTAGGGGCGTGGAATGCATTGCCGGAGAAGGTAGTGGAGTTGGCCTCATTAGGGGCATTTAAGCGGCTATTAGATAGGCATATGGATGATAGTATAAGGTAGCGGTGGAGGTTAGATAGACCTTAGGTTTCGGGTAAAAGTTCGGCATAACATCGTGGGCCGAAGGGCCCGTACTGCGCTGTAGTGTTCTATGTTCTATGTTAACGATGAACACAATGATGGGATATAATATTAGTTGTCTCTGGGTCTGTTAAAGAAGTCTTCGGCCTTCCAGGATCCTGGCCCCTCCATGCCCTGATAATGGTCCTTGGCTCCCTCTCTTCCAGACTAACCATTGGTTGTGGCAGCATTTTATTTAAATCAACAGTGCCTCCACGTTCTCAGCCTGGCCACCTTCCCCATCTGAATATAGCATGTCTATTAATTTTGGGGGCAATTCTACATGTACAAACACTTGCTCAATTTCTTTAAATACTGTCCTCCACAGTACAGGAAATTGAGTAGGTGGGCAGAGAACATTCGTGACATGGACAGATTAAGTATATGACCAAATTTCTGGCAAATGGAGTTCAGAGAGGGGAAATATAGAACTCCCTCTTTGAATCTCACAAAGACAAGTCAGAATAGTTCTTATTGATGAGGAACTAAATTTTTGGAGTAATTTAGATGTCCATGTACACATCAAGAAAACCTAATGCCAGAGTGATCCCTAGTGAGGTGCAGAGGCCCGGAGTATCACACTGTGTGGACTCTGCCCTCCCACAGGGTAAATCACACTGCGTGGACTCCCCCATTCCTCCAGGGTAAATCACACTGTGCAGAATTCCCCTCCCTGGGGTAAATCACACTTTGTAGGACCTCCTGCTCCTCAGTGGCTCTTTTACTTCCATTCCATAGTCAAATACTAAATTGTGCTAAGGTGGGGGTGTTTACCACAAATGGTGTTCCAGACTGCTCAAGACATCCACAATTATGTGGCAATCCTCATCGGCATTACAGGCTGGGATTCCATGACGCTCTTTTGGGTTAATGATTCCTTGCCATGATCAAACTAAACCGGAAACTAAATGGAAGGTCACAAGATGCCACTGTCATCTATCCACATGGTGCCCCCATCCTGGGGGTTCTAGTTCCTCCCTGGTGCACATGGTTTCAGTGCAGAGCTACCTAAAACACAGGGTTCCCCAATTAACCCTGGGATGGTTCTTTCTGAAGCATGTGCATAAAGTTATCAAAAAGACTGATGGAAAACAGCCTTTAGCTCAAGATCACTGGATTTACAGCGAAGAAATGAAGCTTCTGATGTGCAGAAGCTTTGACAGACTCAGTCTGGAGTAACTGGCTTCATTCTGGGCAATGCAAATTGGAAAGGATATTTGGACTTGGAAGGAATGCAGTACAGATTCACCACAATGTTACAGGACCTTAAAATAGATGGGCTACTGCCCACCTCAACCAATATGGCACAAACCCACATATTGTGTGGTTAACTCTTAAGAGCCTCAGACCGTCCAGGGATGGGACATAAATGCACCTTTTCATTATCTCCCAGATCCTGTGAACAAATCACAAACACGCCTTTTTCTTCCCATCATCAAATCACTTGTGATACATTTCACCTATAATCCACCACCAATAAATCATCTGTGTTTCAATTAATCAAATTATGCATAATAATAGACAGGATAGATTAGGCTTATACTTCCATATTTATGGAAGATTAAGAAATTATCTGATTGAGATGTCTCTAAATTTATTCAAAACATTGATAGCGTAGGATGGAAGAAAGCACAACCTCCAAATTAAAACCATACTCTTCAGGGGTGGTGTCAGGAAATATATCTTCAAACAAAGGATTGTAAAAACTTGGACCATTCTCCCCCAAAGAGCTCTGGATGCTGGAACGATTGACTGAGTGCCATCATAGGCCTGACAGAAGTATAATTTCTCCTGTTCCTATGTAACAGATGGAGGTTAAATTGCTCCCTCTTGTTCAGAGGGATCAAACGGCCCCCTCTTGTTTGGGGTGGCGGGGTGTGGCAGAATGGCCCCCTCTTGTTCAGAGGGACAGAATGGCCCCCCCTTGTTCAGAGGGGCAGAATGGCTTCAGCTTGATCGGAGGGGCAGAACGGCGTCCACTTGTTCAGAGGGGCAGAACGGCCTCCGCTTGTTCAGTGGGGTGGAATGGCCTCGCTTGTCCTTCTCCGCAAGCTTCCGGTACAATGAGTGTCATAAATCCTTCCTCACAGGGTCCCAGTCAAACAAAGAAACCTACCTGAGGCCATGACAAGAGTTGGCTGGTTAAGTGGTAATGCACCATTCCATGATGCTCATCTTTTAAAATACTGCCTGTCATACAATGAAACAAAAGTAAGTTACAGGCATCAATAAAAAACATGTAATTTTAGATAGGCAAACACTAACCATTGACATGGGCTCCTTGACCATTTCAAGCACACATAGCATACACAACCTTGAATATGGTGATCTACTGGTTTTGACACTGGAAGGGCTACCAGAGAAACCATGTCTAAATCTCACCAGAAAAAACTGCACATCACATTTGATAATCTGACCATTTGTGCACAGATACCAACAATGTGACTCTGAAGCTCTCACTTTATATAAAACTCAAATGGTTTGCTACTGCCCACCTCAACCAATATGGCACAAACCCACATATTGTGTGGTTAACTCTTAAGAGCCTCAGACCGTCCAGGGATGGGACATAAATGCACCTTTTCATCATCTCCCAGATCCTGTGAGCAAATCACAAACACGCTTTTTTCTTCCCACCATCAAATCACCTGTGATGCATTTCACCTATAATCCACCACCAATAAATCATCTGTGTTTCAATTAATCAAATTATGCATAATAATAGACAGAAGATCTGTGTTTAATCATTGAAATCAGCTGTCAGTGAACAAACAGATTTCATACCACAACATCCTTTCACTGAACTGTGCTCTTCTCAGATCTCAATGCCCTCCTGTCTTTGCACATTAAATGGTGATACACTATCCAGCTATAGCAGGTATCACAGAAAGCCTGAATCCCATTAGCCAATCCCATGCACTGAATAGAGATTACTGAAACTCAAGCAGTAGAGTTCTTGAAGGATTCTCCCAATCTTTCACCTAATGCACTGAGGCCAAATTCACCATCCTTTCTACTCTGTAACTTTCTGAGGTCAGCTGACTCAGCACACACCATCAATTACAGTAAAGAACAATACCATTCTGAGTAATGTTCTTATCCACTGGCAAAGGGACAGACATAAAGATCACGAGAGGAAGATAGTGAGACAGTGAGATGGAGGCAATGAAAGGGACGGAGCAAGACAGGGTAAAAGCAAGACAGTGAAAGAGGCAAAGAAAGGGGAGGGGGGAGAGAGAGGCAGAGACAGACATTGAATATGTGAGGTAGGGAGACGGAGGGAATGGCAGAGGGAGACAGTGCAAGAGCGACAGAAAGAAACAAGGAGAAATTCAGAGACGAGTGGACAAAGAGTAACAGAAAATGTCTCTGAGAGTGAGATGAATTGTGAAAGCCTTTGTGTGACAACAAGAGAAAGTCACAGGGATGTACAGCGCAAAAACAGACCCTTCAGTCCAAATCGTCCATGCCGATCAGATGTCCTAAATTAATCTAAACCCATTTGCCAGCATTTGGCCCATATCCCTCTAAACCTTTCCTATTCATATACCGTCCGATTGCCTTTTAAATGTTGTGATTGTACCAGCCTCCACCATTTCCTCCAGCAGCACATTTCACACATGCACCACCTTCTGCCTGAAAAAGTTGCCCCTTAGGTCTCTTGTAAATCTTTCCCCTCTCACCTTAAACCTATGCTGTCTAGTTTTTAAGACTCCCCTATCCTGGGGAAAAGACCTTGGCTATTCACCCTATCCATGCTCCTCGTGATTTTATAAACTTCAGTAAGGTCACCCCTCAGCCTCCAACGCTCTAGGGAAAATAGGCCCAGGCTATTCAGTCTCTCCCTAAAGCTCAAACACTCCAACCCCGGCAACATCCTTGTAAATCTTTTCTGAACCCTTTCAAGTTTCACAATATCCTTCCTATAGCAGGGACACCAGAACTGAATGCAGTATTCCAGAAGAGGCCTAACCAATGTCCTATACAGCCGCAACATGACCTCCCAACTCCTATTACTTAATGAACTGACCAATAAATGCCTTCTTCACTATCCTGTATACCTGTGATCCCACTTTCAAGGAATTATGAACCTGCACTCCAAAGTCTCTTTGTTTGGCAACACTCCCCAGGACTTTACCATAAAGTGTATAAGTCCTGCCCTGATTTGCCTTTCCAAAATTCCACTCATCAGCCATCCGATCAAAGCAAATGAGAGAGTATGTGAGACAAAGAGACAGAGAAGTAAATAGAAAGAGAAGACAGAGAGACATAGAGAGACAGACCGTAAATATATAACAAAGAAAGGGAGACAGAGAGAATAGGAGAGTGAAACAGAGTGAAAAATACAACAAGTGAGATAGAGACATTCAGAGTCAGACGGTAATGAGACAAAGAATGAAAGAGAATGACAGCATATTAATGTATGAAAGGTATAATAAGACTGTTATTTAGTATGTGATTCAAGTAGAGGAATCCAGATGAACTTAGTTCTTTACCTTCAAATGTAGTTTCAATAAAGTTCTTGAATGGCTTGAGATCAGGTTTATTTCCGTGGATTTTGACCAGTAATGTAAATCCACTGCCAAATTTATTCTTGAGGTGCTGAGGACTTCCAAGGCACTTGAACTGACCGTTGACCATCACAGCCAGCCTGGTGCAGAGTGCTTCACACTCTTCCATGCTGAAACATAGCGTGCAGACTTACTGAAGTCCAGAAATAAAATCAGAAAATACAGAAAATGAATAGAAAACAGAAAAATTCAGCAGATCTGGCAGCAACTGTGCAGAGAGAAATAGAGTTAATGCTTCGAGTTGAACAACTCTTCTTCAGACCTTCATCTTACAAAGGAATCATTCAACCTGAAACATTTATTATTTTCTCTTTTCAGAGATGCTGAAAGACCTGCTGAGATTTTCCAGCACATTGTTTCCATTTCAGATTACCAGCATTTGTCAAATTTTGCTTTTATAATTGAAGACCAGAATTAAGACCATTAAACCACGACCACAGGATGTAGGAACAGAAGTAGGCCATTCAGTCCCTTAAGTCTACTCTGCCATTCAATAAGATTATGATTGATCTAATAATCCTTAACATCACTTGCCTAATTTTTCCCCACAACCCTCAGTTCCCATTAAAAAATTGTCTATCTGAGCCTTGAAATACTTAACAGCCCAGTCTCAAAAGTCCTCAGCAATAAAGAATTCCACAGATTCGTAACCCTCAGTGAAGGAATTTCCCCCACCCTTTTCTGTCTTAAATGTGCAACCCTTTATTCTGAGATAATGCCCTCTATTCCTAGACTCTTCCACAAGGAGAAAACAACATCTCTGCATCTACTCTGTCAAGTCCCCTCAGAATTTTTAATGTTTCAGTGAGGTCCCCTCTTATTCATCTAAAATGCATTGAGTACAAGCTCCAGCCTGCTTGATCTCTCCTCTTAAGTCAGTTCCTTCTTACCAGGTATCAGCTTGGTGAACATTCTCTGGACTGCCTCCAATGCCAGTGTATCATTCCTTAGATAAGGTGACTAAAACTCACAGTAATCCAACTGCGGATTGATTTGATTTGATTTATTGTTGTCATGTACCTAAGTACAGAGAAACATTCTGTGTGCAGTACAGGCTGATCAGTTATGGCAAAACCTCCCTCCTTTTATACTCTTTTTGTGGTTTTTAGACAAGGACTCCCAAATCCCTCTGTTCTATAGCTTTTTACAGTCTTTTTCCACATAAATAATATTCACCTCCACTGTTCTTCCTGCTGAAGTACATGACCTCACATTTTCCCACAGTATATTTAATCTGCCAAGATTCTGCTCACTCACTTAATCTATCTTTTTTTTATCACTTGAGGGACATGGGAGCCACTGGCTGGTCAGCATTTATTGCCTGTCCTCAGTTGACCTTGAGAAGGTGGTGGTGAGCTACCTTCTTGAATCACTGCAGTCCATGAGCTGTAGGTAGACCTACAATGCCCATAGGGAAGGAATTTCAGGATTTTGACACAGCGACAGTGAAGGAATTGTGATATATTTCCAAGTAAGGATAGTAAGTGGCTTGGAGGGGAACTTGAAGGTGGTGGTGTTGTCACATATCTGCTGGTCTTGCCCTTCTAGATGAAGTGGTCATGAGTTTGGGAGATGCTGTCTGAGGATCTTTGGTGAACTTCTGCAGTGCATCTTGTAGATAGTACACACTGCTGCTACTGAATGTCGGTGGTGGAGGGAATGGATGCTTGTGGATGTAGCGCCAATCAAGTGGGCTGCTTTGTCCTGGATGGTGTAAAGCTTCTTGAGTGTTGTTGGAGTTGCATTCACCCAGGCAAGTGGGGAGTATTCCATCACACTTCTGACTTGTGCCTTGTAGATGGTGGGCAGCCTTGGGGAGTCAGGACATGAGTTACTCGCTGCAGTATTCCTAGCATCTGACCTGTTCTTGTAGCCATTATGTTTACGTGGTGATTCCAGTTGAGCTTTGGTCAATGGTAACCCCCAGAATGTTGATAGTGGGGGATTCAGTGATGGTAACACCACTGAATGTCAAGGGATCGTGGTTAGATTGTCTGTTATTGGTGATGGTCACAACTTGGTGTATGTGTGGCACTAATGTTACTTGCCAATTGTAAACCCAAGCCTGGATATCATCTAGATCTTGTTGCATTTGAATACAGACTGAGGAGTCACGAATTGGGCTGAATATTGTGCAATCATCAGTGAACATCTTCACTTCTGACCTTACGATGAAGGGAGGGTCATTGATGAAGCAGCTGAAGATGGTTGGGCCTAGGACTACCCTGAGGGACTTCTGCAGAGATGTCCTGCATGACTGACTTCCAACAATTATGACCATCTTCTTATGTGTCAGGTATGACTCCAACCATCAGAAAGTTTGCCCCGATAACCACTGATTTCAGTATTGCTAGGGCTCCTTGACATCACACATCGTCAAACACAGCCTTGATGTCAAGGGCTGTCACTTTCATCTCACCTCTGGAATTCAGCTCTTTTGTCCATGTTTGAACCAAGGCTGTAATGAGGTCAGGAGCTGAGTAGCCATGGTGGAACCCAAACTGAGCGTCACTGAGCAGGTTAATGCTGAGTAGGTGCTGCTTGATAGCATTGTTGATGACACCTTTCAACACCTTACTGATTATCAAGAGTAGACTGATGGGGTGGTGGTTGGCCAGGTTATATTTGTCCTACTTTTTATGTACAGGACATACCTGGGCAACTTCCCACATTGTCAGATAGATACCAGTAATTGTACTGGAATAGCTTGGCTACGGGAGTGGCAAGTTCTGGAGCACAAGTCTTCAGTACTAATGTTAGAATGTTGTCAGGGCCATACCCTTTGCAGTATCCAGTGTCTCCAACAATTTCTTGATATCACGTGGAGTGAAGTGAATTGGCTGAAGACTGGTACGTCTAATGCTGGGGACCACTGCAGGAGTGTTATTGGAGCTGCGCTCATCCAATCAAGTGGAGAGTATTCCACCACACTCCTGACTTGTGCTTTGTGGACAAGCTATGTGGAGTCAGGAGGTGAGTTACACTCTGCAGTATTCCCAACCTCTGACCTGCTCACATAGCCACTGTACTTGTATGGCAAGTCCAGTTGAACTTCCAGTCAATGGTAACACCCAGAATGTTCAGTGATGGTAATGTCAAGGGGTGATGATTAGATTATTTGAGATGATCTTGCCTGGCATTTGTATGCCATGAATGTTACTTGTTACTTATCAGCCCATATTTAGGTATTGTCCAGGTAAATGGTGCTGAACATTGTGCAATCATCGGCAAACATCCCCACTTCTGAGTGTATGATGGAGGGAAGGTCATTGAAGGAACTGGAAATGGATGGGCCTAGGACACTACCTGATGAATTCCTGCAGAGATATTCTGAAGCTGAGATGACTGACATCTGACAACCACAACCATCTTCCTATGAACCAAATATGATTCCAACTAGTGAAGAGGTTGCCCCCTGCTTCCCATTGATTCCAGTTTTGCTTGGAGTTCTTGATGCCAAACTCAGGTAAATGTGGCCTTGATGTCAAGTGCTGTCACTCTCATATCACCTCTGGAATCCAACTCTTTTGTTCGTGTTTGAACCAGCACTGTACAGAGATCAGGAACTGAGTAGCCCAGCAGAACCCAAACTGGACATCCCTCTGCAGCCTCTTCATGTGATCCTCAGCATTTGCCTATCCACATAATATTATGTCATCTGAAAACTTGAAAATAGTACATTCACTTTACTCAACCAAGTCATTGATATATATTGTAAATAACTATGGCCTGGCACTGATCCTTGTGGCACACCATCCTGAAAATGCTGCCTTCATCCTGTACTATATCAGTTAATCAATCCTCTATCCATGCTAATATACAACCTTCAATACCCATGGGCTTTTAGAGTCATACAGCACACAAGCAGACCCTTTGGTCCAACCAGTCTATGCCAACCTTAATACCAAACTAAACTTGTCCCACCTGACTGCACTTGGCCCATATCTCTCCAAAGATCTATAGAGTCACAGAATTATACAGCACAGAAACAGACCTTCGTCCATGCTGACCAGATATCCCAATTAACCTTGTCCCATTTGCCAGCATTTGGCCCATGTTCCTCTAAACTCCTCCTATTCAGGTACCCATTCAGATGCCACTTAAATGTTGTAATTGTACCAGCCTCCACCACTTCCTCTTGCAGCTCTTTCCATACACACACACCACCCTCTGCGTGATGAAGTTGCCCCTTAGGTCCGTCTTATATCTTTCCCATCTCACCTTAAACCTATGCCCTCTTGTTTTGGATTCCCCTGTGAAAAAGACCTTGGCTGTTCATCCTATCCATGCCCCTCATGATTTTGTAAACCACTATACAGTCACCCCTCAACCTCCAACACTCCAGGAAAAATAGCCCCAGCCTACTCAGTGTTTGTATACAGGTACAAACAGATGCAAGAACAGCTTCTTTCCCACTGTCACCACTTTCGAATAGACTTCTTTAATGTTAATGTCGATCTCTCTCTGCACCTTCTTAGCGGCTGTAATATTGTATCCTGCACTCTGTTCTGTTATCCTAATGTACTTGCATAGTATGATCTGCCTGTAAGATATGTAGATAACACTTTTCACTGTACCTCGGTACATGTGCCAGTAATAAATCAAATCGAACCAAACGATCCATGTACCCATCCAGATGTCTTTTAAATGTTGTAAGTGTACCCGCATGCACCACTTCTTCTGGAAGTTCATTCCACACACGAACCATTCTTTGTGTAAAACAAATTTCCCCTCATGTCTTTTTAAATCTTTCTCCTCTCACTTTAAAAATATACCTCCCAGTCTTGAAATCCCCCACCGTAGGGAAAAGACACTTGCCATTTACCTTATCTACGCCCCTCATGATTTTATAAACCTCTATAAAGGCCACCCCTCAACCTCCTGCTCTCCAGTGTAAAAAGTCGCAGCTTATCCAGCCTCTCACTTTAACTCAAACCCTCAATTCCCGGCAACATCCTGGTAAATCTCTTTTGAACCTTGTCCAGCTTAATAATATCCTTCCAGAACAGGTGACCAAAACTAGACATAGTACTCCAGAAGAAGCCTCACCAACATCCTGTACAACCTGAACATAATGTCCCAACTCCAATACTCAAAGGTCTGAGCAATGAAGGTAAGCGTGCTAAACTCCTTCTTAACAACCCCATCTATATGTGATGCAAACTTCAAAGAATTATGTACCTGAACCACTTGGTTTCCCTGTTCTACCCAAGGCCTTGGTTTTAATTGTATAAGTCCCGCCCTTGTTTGTTTTACCAAAAATGCAATAACTCACATCCATTAAACTCTATCTGCCACTTTTCAGCCGATTGACACAATTGGTCAAGATCTCTTTGTGATGTTAGATAACCTTCTTCGCTGTCCACTATACCATCAATCTTGGTGTCATCTGCAAACTTACTTAGTAGCCTAATGTATCTCACCTTATCAAATGCCTTCTAAAAATTCAAATATATTACATATACTGCTTCCCCTTTATCTATTCTGTTTGTTAGCTCCTCAAAGAGTTCTAGTAAATTTGTCAGGCATGACATCCCCTTCATGAAGCCATGCTCACTCGGCTTAATCGTATTATGTACTTCTAAATGCTGTGTTTTATATCCTTTATAATGGGCTCTAACGTTTTCCTAATAAGAAATGTTAACTGGCTTTTAGTTAGCTTTTCTTTCTCTCTCTCCCTTTTTAAATAAAGGTGTTACATTGATAGCTTCCCAATCCTCTGCGACTTTTTCAGAATTTAAGGATTTCTCTAAGATTACTACCAGCGCATCCACTAACTCTGTAGATAATTTCTTTAACAGCCTAGGATGCATCTCAAAGGACTTATTGGTCTTTACCCCCATTAGTTTCCCTAGTATTCTTTCTTTAATGATAGATATTTATTTCCTCTCCTCCTTTTGCCTCTTGAATATTTAATAATATTGGAATACTACCAGTTTCCTCTACTGTGAAAATTGGTGCAAAGTATTCATTCAAGTCCTCTGCCATTTCCTGGTTCCCCATTATTATTCATTCTCTACAGGGCCTTATTATTCATACTTTATGGGGCCTATGTTCATTCTGGCTTCTCATTTCCTTTTTATATATTCAAAGAAGTTCCTGTTGTCCATCTTGATATTGCTCACAAGTTTACTTTCAAAGTTTATTTTCTCTGTCTTTACATTTTTTGGCTGTCTTTTGTTAGTCTTTAAAATTTCCCCAATCCTCCTGTTTATCTCTAATCTTTAAAACAGTTCAGCATTCAATTCTGGACAACACACCTCAAGAAAGTTATATTAACTTTGGAGGGGCTGATATTTAGATTTATCAGAATGGTACTGGGGCTAAAAAAGTTAAATTATAAAGTCATACTGCACAACCTGCTAGCTGTACATTAATTGCATTGAATTGCATGTTGGTGGTGGACATTAACTAGGGATTCACTTCTGCTTCCACAATGCAGTAACAGGAATGTTGTCTAGAAGTGAGGGCTGGAAACCCAGAAGAAAATTCATAAAGCAAATTAAAATCCTCATGGCCATTGTAGAAAGTTGCAGAAAGCAAGGAGTAATAACTCCTATTTAAAATTTTATTGCCAAGGACGCTTACAATCAATGTCCCATATTCCATATGATATCAACCCATCCATAACTGCCACGAAATGGGCGACGGTGAACTTCCTTCTTGAGCTGCTGCAGCTCTTGTGGTGTAAGTACTCCCATAATGCTGTTAGGGACGAGGTTCCAGAATTTTCATTCTGCAACAACGAAGGAATAGAGATATAGTCCCATGTCAGGATAATGGATGACTTGAGGGATACTCGCAGGTGGTTGTGTTCCCATATATCAACTGTCTTTGTTCTTCTAGGCTATAGAAGTCATGGGTCAAAAGATTCTGTTGAAGAATCCCCGACAAGTTGTTGCAATGAATTGGAGATGGTGGGGTAGTGGTTAATACCACAGGATTACTAGTCAGGCTGATGCCTTGGAAACACAGGTTCAAATCCCACCATGGAAGCAGAATTAAATTCAATTAAATGTAAATTATTTGATAAAAATTATAGGAGCTAAACTCTATGATGACTATTATATATTGATGTGAAAACCCAATGGGATCACTAGAATCTTTAAGGGAGGTAAATCTGCTGTCTTTACATGTGATTTTGGACCCTACAGCAACATAGTTTACAGCCTTTGGAAATGGCCCAGAAAGTGACTCAGATGCATCAAATTGTTACATAAAAATCAAAAAGGAACAAAACCTGCCAGACCATCTGGCATCAACTTAGACACTGGAAATGACAACAGCACACCCAGCCAAGTTGACCCTATAAAATCCGCTGCGAGACTGGGCTCATGGGAGGTTGTGAGGGAGCCAACAAGGAGGAAATTAATTTTTACTTGACCTGGTCCTCACCAATCTACCTGTCACAGATGCATCTGTTCATGATAGTAGGAGTGATCACTGCACAATCCTTGTGAAGATGAAGTTGTGTCTTCACAGTGAACATACCCTCCATCATGTGGCATTACCACTGCGCTAGACAGGAAAGATTCAAAACACAACTAGCAGCTCAAAACTGGGTGTCCATCAAGCACTATGGGCCATCAGCAGCAGCAGAATTATATTCAACTCCAATTAGTAGCAATCTTATCTCCTGACATATGCTCCACTCTGCCATTATCAACAAGCCAGGAATCAATCCTAGTTCAATGAAGAATGCAGGAGGGCATATTAGAAACAGCACTGAGTACAACTAAAATGAAATGTCAAAATTGTGAAGCTAGGTGAACTACTTGAGTGCCGAATAACAGATATAGCAAGTAATACACAGGGCTAAGCAATTCCACAATCAGACGATTAGACCAAGATATTCAGTCCTGCCACATCCAGTCATAAACAGAGGTGGACAATTAAACAATTGGGAGGAGGTTCTGCTAATATCCATATGTGTAATGAAGGGTAACCTAGCACATCAATGCAAACAACAAGGCTGAAGCATTTACAACCATCTTCAGCCACAAGTGCTGAGTGGATGATCCATCTCAGCTTCTTCCTGAATTCTCCAGGCAATTAGATTCACCTGCCAATTAGATTCATTCCATATGATATCAAGAACGACTGAAGGCACTGGGTACTGGAAAGGCAATTGATCCAACAACATTCCAGCCAAAGATGTGATCTCCAGCATTTGTTGTCTTCAGTACAGTATTGAAGACCTGTGCTTCAGGACTTACTATGCTCCTAGACCAGCTATTCCAGTATAGCTATGACACTGGCATCTACTCAACAATGTGGAAAATTGTAAAGGTTTTTCCATCTACAAGAAGCAGGACGAATCTACCAGACTGATTATTGCTCTATCAGTCTATTATCAATCACAGCAATGTGATACAATAGTTATAGTCAGTGCCACCTAGCAATGCTTACATAACAATAACCTGTTCAAGGATTCTCAGTTCAAGTTCCACTAGGGTCACCTGGCTCCTGAATTCATTACGAACTTAGCTTAATCATAAACAAAAGATCTGAACTCAAGATGTGAGTGAGTGACTGCCCTTGACATCTAGGTATCATTGGACTGAGTATGGCGTCAAGGAACTCTAGCAAAATTGGATCAATGGGAATCGGGAAAACTCTCCACTGGTTGGAGACACGTAGCACAAAGGAAGATGGTTGTGGTTGCTGGATGTCAATCATCTCAGTCCCAAGACACTGCTGTAAGAGCTCCTCACAGTAGTGTCCTGAGCTGAACCATTTTCAGATCTGCATCAGTATCCTTCCCTCTCTCATTATGTCAAAAGTGGAGATATTCACAGATGATTGCAAGTTTCCCTTCCACGCACACCTCCACTATCCCGACTTGGAATTATGTCACCATTCTTTCATTGTTACTGGATCAAGTCCTGGAATTTCCTTTCTAACAATACTGTAAGTATATGTATGTCATGGACTTCACAGGTTGAAGATGGCTCACTTTTACCTTCTAAAGGGCAAATAGGGATAGGGGAACAATTTCTTGGCAGCAACACCCAGACCCATGGAAGAATATAGGAAAAAGCTTTCCTGTCATTGTATACAGGTAATGGATTTGAATGATGAAACAGGCTGAAGGGGCTGAATGGCCTCCTTCTGTTATGAACTAAAGTATAACCTGATTGTAACAGAGAAACACACTGCATACCTGTGCGAAGTGATGACAATGGACTTTCCATCTTGAAGAGATCTGGTCACCGCATCCCATAATAGTCTCCTGGAAACGGGATCCATGCCAGTGGAAGGTTCATCCAGGAAGATGACAGCAGGGTTTCCAATCATCGCCACTGCGGTGCTCAACTTTCTCTTATTTCCACCACTAGGATAGGACAAAACAAGCAGCAGCATGATGCTTGTCAAAGGGAGATAAGGACCGAGAATACCCATGTGGGAAGAGAGAGACTGGAAGAGGGGCAGAGAGGAAGGACCGGAATTTCATAACTGGAAGAGAGTGATCAGGAATCCTGACAAAGGAGACAGGGGTGAGAATCTTGGCAAATGACTTGGAATCTCAGTACAGGGTGAGAAACTGGGAATTGCAGCACAGGCAGAGATTGGAAATCTTATAACAGGGAGGGACAAGGAATTTTGGCACAGAGAGTAAGAGGGTTGGAATCTTAGCACAGGGAAAGAATTACAATCTTGGCAGTTGGTTCTCCCATCCATGACATCTCCTACCCCTGGGAATTTCTTTGGTGTTGAAGTGGCAATCTCCAGATGGCACTATCACAAAACGTGTCCTTCTCATAACCTACTAAACCAAAATATGCACTCTTCAGCCATATTATCACCTCTGTATATTTCACAATTGCACACAATTGGAAGGGCATTATGGACCAGCACACAATGGGTTGAGTAGCTTTTGTGTACTGTGAACTTTATAGCCACTGAGATGAGTTCTCTAATGCCGATCCTTCCACTTAACAGGTGAACAAGCAGTGAAGAAAAGGCAAGGGGAAGGAAATATACAATTAAGGATCTGGATTTACTAACCTGTATGTCCGCACAAGCTTCCGGGCATGAGGTTCAAGTAGGAAACTCTGGAGCTCATCATCTATGCACTGCTGGATGATGTGCTCGGGGATGCCCCGTAATCTTGCAAACATATACAGTGTTTCCTGCCCTGTCATGTGACCAAGCAGAGCATCAAACTGGGGACAGTAACCAATCTTCTGGCGCACCTATCCAAGAATAGAGAGAAAATACCTTGGAAATAAGGAAAACAGAGAGCTGAGGTTCCAGGGACTGCAGTGTTCCATCAAACACTACCACTTGTCTGCAAGATGTAAACATCTTTCTCCTGTAGGATGGGAGCACTGCACTCCTCCTGTGGAATGGGAACAATCCCCTCCTCCTGCAGGATGGAGAATTCCCCCTTCCCATTCCTGTCAGATGGGGAACTCTTCCACATCCCACGGGATAGGAAACAAACGCTGCCACACCCCTGCAGGATGGGAAATCCTCCCACTCATGTGGGATAGGGAACATCCCCCTTTCTCTGGCATTTACCTGTATGTTACTCCACATCCACAGCAGTTTGGTTGACTTTTAAATCCCCTCTGAAATGGCTTAGCAAGCCACTCATTTGTATCAAACTGCTCCAAAGCCTAAAGAAGGAAATGAAACTGGGTAGACCATCAGGTATCGACCTAGACACTGTAAATGACAACAGTAAACACAGCCCTGTCGACAGTGCAAAATCCTCCTTACTAACATTGAGGTGCTGGTGCCAAAATTGGGAGAGCTTTCCCACAGACTAGTTAAGCAACAGCCTGACATTGTCTATAAAGTATAATTCTGTTGACTATCCCAGACACCTGTCTCCATCCCATCCATATTTGTCCCACTTGTAGGACCCATCGGCAATGTTTCTACTAAGCTGCACATGCACAGTCGCTCTGATTTCACGCATGGCAATCGGCATGCTGACATGGTTCACAGTACCGACTTTTGGTTCTAGAAGTTCCATAGAAGAAAAACAGAATTTTAGGGAATGCTGCCTGTCAGAGGTGGTGGCAAAGTAGTATACAGTCAGGAGGGAGTTAGCCTGGGAGTCCACAATATGGACTCCTGACCCCATGAAGTTCCATTGCATCAGATCAAAGATGGGCAAGGGAACTTCCTGCTGATTACATCTATCACTACTACCTTACTCAGCTGATGAATCAGTGCACCTCCGTGTTGAACGTCACTTGGAGGAAGCACAGACAGTGGAAAGACACAGAATGTAGTCTGCTTGTCCATTACCAAAAGTTGCTTGGTAGCACTACTACTGACAGAGCTGGCTGAGTTCTAAAGGATATAGAAAGCAGACTGCATCTGCAGAAAATGGTGAGGGAACCAACAAGGAGGCAAAATCTACTTGACTTCATCCTCACAATCTGCCTGTCCCTGATATGTCTGTCCATGACGATATCATGATGACAGCCCATTCACTGCAAAATCCTTGCGGAGACAAAGTCCGGTCTCCTACATTGAGGGTACCCTCCATTGTGTGGAGTAGCACTATCACCAGGCTAAATCAGACAGACTTCAAGCAGATTTAGCAACTCAAAACTGGAAATCCATGTAGTGTTGTGGGATATTAGCATTCAAACAAAATCTGTAACCTCATACCTTGGTGTATCCTCAACTCTAACATTACCATCAAGGAAGGGTATCAATCCTGGTTCAATGAACAGTACAGGAGGGTATCAAGGGAGCAATGCCACGTATACCTAAAAATGAAGTGTCAACCTGGAAAAGTAACAACATAGAACCATGCGCATGCTAAACAGTGCAAACAGCATGCAATAGAAGGGCTGAGCAATCTCAGAACCTCAGATCTAAGCTCTGCAGTCCTGCCGCATTCAGTCATGAACAATGGTGGGTCAACTAAACAACTCACTGGAGGTGAAAGCTCCAGAGATATCCCCATCCTCAATGATGTGGGAACCCAGTACATCAGTGCAAAAGATCAAGCTGAATCAATTGCATCCATCTTCAGCCAGAGGTATTGTGGCGATCTATCTTGCCTTCCTCCAGCATCACTGATGTCAGTCTTTGGCCAATTCAATTCACGTTACGTGATATCAAGAAATGGCTGAAGGCGTTGGATATCATAAAGACTATGGGTCCTGACAGCATTCCAGTGATAACAATAAAGACTTGTGCTCCAGAACTATCCATGCTCCTAGCTAAGCTGTTCCAGTCGGCTACAATCATAGCATCCACAATTTGGAAAAATGTCCAGGTATGTCCTATCCTCAAAAGCAGGATAAATCCAATCCAGCCAATTACTGCCCTATTAGTTTACTCTCAATCATTAAAGTGATGGAAGCAGTTGCTAACGGTGCAATCAAGCAGTGCTTGCAAAGAAATAATCTGCTCACTGATGGTTAGTTTGAGTACTGCCAGTGCCACTCAGGTCCTGATAATAATCTTAGTTCAAACATGGACAACAGAACTGAACTCGAGAGAAGGAGACAGTATCTTTGACATCAAGACAGCATTTGACTGAGTATAACATCATGGGGTCCTAGCATAACTGGAGTCAATAAGAATTAGGGGGGAAACTCTCCACTGGTTAGAGTCATACCTAACACAAAAGAAGATATCACGGTCATCGGAGGTCAATTATCTCAGTCAAAGTACTTCAGTGCAAGCATTCTGCAAAATAGTGTCCTAGTCCCGACCATCTTAAGTTGCCTCATCAATGATTTTTCCTCTACCATGAGGTCAGAAGTGGGGATGATAACTGATACATTCAGCATATTCAGCACCATTCATGACACCTCAGATGTCAGAGGTGTCCGTGCCAAAATGCAGCAAAACCTGGGCAATATCTAGGTTTGGGCTGACAAGTGGCAAGCATCGTTCCTGACAGGCTATGACCATCTCTAACAAAATAGAATTTAATCGTCTTCCTTTGACAGTGCTAAATCACACACTAACAAACCTCCTGCAGGTTACTATTGACCAGAAACTGAACTGGACTAGCCATTTAAACATTGTGGCCACAAAAGGAGGTGAGGACCTAGGAATTTAAAGGCAAGTAACTCACATTCTGTCTCTCCAATGATTGATTTTCTTTACAAGGTACAAGTCAGGACTGTAATAGAATACTCACACTTGCCTGGATGAGTGCAGATCGAACAACTCTCAAGCAGATCGTCACAATCTAGGACAAGGCATCCTAAACACCACCTTCAACATTCACTCTCTCTTCACAATAAAAACACAGTAGCAGCAGTGTGTACTGGCCTGTGGAATGCACTTTGGTAACTCACCAAGATTCCCTCTACAGCACATTCCATGTACGTGGCCTCAACCACCTAGAGGGACAAGGCAGCAGGTGCATGGGAACATCACCTATTGCAATTAACCCTCCAAGCTACACACACCATCTAGACTTCGAAATATATCACAATTCCTTCAGTGTTACTGGGTCAAAATCCTAAAACACCCTTCCTAAGAGCTCAATGAGTGTCCCTACATCCCAAGGGTTGCAGTCATTCAAAAAGGCAGCTTACCACTACCTACTCCACAGCAATTAGGGATGATAAATAAATGCTTGCTTAGCAAGTGATGCTCATATTCCATGAACAAACTTTTTTTAACAATTATGTGCTACTGAGTAGTCTGCAAGTGCTCACTTTTTTTTTGTCTTTCAAAACGCTGTAACCTGCGATAAAGGCATCCCCTCCGCTCACTTTCTCATCACCGGTCAACATCTTGAAGGTGGTTGTCTTTCCAGCTCCATTAAAACCCAGTAATCCAAAGCATTCTCCTTTATTTACAGCTAAAGAAATCCTGTTAACAGCAAGTGTTGATTCCTTGTGATAAACCTGAAAGACAAAATATGAAGTACAGACTTGGAAATCAATGAACACTTTAAAATAAATGCTATTGGGAGTCAATGTCAGGTAATGACCAACTTGAACATGAGGAGGCCTTCCTTCACAATCCTCAACACCACCCAACCCCAAACCCCACACGAACATCAAAGTCTTGAGTCACCCGAAACAAACCAGGCACAGAAAAACTGTGGCTACAAGAACAGAGTAGAGGGTGTTTATTCTACAGTGAGTGAAAGAAAGAAATGAATTTCTATTGTGCCTTTCATAGGAACACTAAAAAGTAAGAGCTGGAGTAGACTATTTGGTCCTTGAGGCTGCTCCACCAATCAATATGATTGCAGTTAACTTTCTGCCTTGACTTTTCTGCCCACTCCTTGTATACCATGATTCCCTGAGAGATCAAAAATTTATCTTCCCTTGATTATAATCAATGACAGAGCATCTACAATTTTCTGTGTAACAATTCTAATTCCAATTAACAACCCTCTGAGTGAAGAAATCTTTTACCTCAACCCTAAATAACCAGCCTTGTCCAGGGCCTATGCTCTGTGTTTCAATTTCCTCAGCATTGCCTGTAATGTGTTTTGTCACCCATAGCAACCATGCACAAAGCTTCCTAGCAGCTGCATGGCTGCACAGATTAAAGAGAATGGTACCTCTCACCCAAGGACAACCTTTTCATCCCTGGGACCAATGTAGTGAACTTTTCACTGCTATGCCTCCAAGTATATCCTTCCATAGAAAAGGAGATCAAAACTGCACACCGTACCCTAGGTATGGTCTCACTAAAGCCCTTTGCAACTGTGTCAAGACTTCCTTGCTCTTCCATTTCAGTCCCTTTGTAAGATAAGAAGATGCCATCTATCCTCCTAATTGTCTGCTGTACCTATATACTAACTTTCTGTATTCTATGTCCAAGTTTAACAAACTCTCTTTGAGCATCAATATTTAAATGTTTCCAATGTTTAAGAAATATTCTGCCTTTCTATTCCTATGATGAAAGTGAATAAATTCATATTCGTCCCCATACTTCTTCTGACAGCTTGTTGCCCTATCAGTTAAATTGACAGTATCCTTCGCAGTCTCTTTGTAACCTCCTCACACCTTGTGTTCCCACCAAACATATCATAGAGTCAGGGGGCATACAGCATGCGAACAGGCCCTTTGGTCCAACTCATCCACGCAAACCGGGTTTCCTAAACTGAACTAGAGCTATTTGCTTGCATTTGATCCGTCACCCTCCAAACCCTTCTGATCCATGTACCTGTCCAAATGTCTTTTAAATGTTGTAATTGTACCCGCCTCTATCACTTCCTCTAGCAGCTCATTCTATACATGCACCACCCTCTGTGTGAAAAAATTTCCCGTCATGTCCCTTTTAAATCTTTCCCTTCTCACCTTAAACCTATGCCCTCTAGTTTTAGACTCCCCCATCTTGGGGAAAACGCCTTGGCTGTTCATTTTATTTATGCCCATTGTGATTTTAGAAACCTCTATTAGGTCACCCCTCACCAAGTCCCTGTATATCCAACCTCTCCTTATAACTCAAACTTTCCAGTTTTAGTAACATTCTTGTAAATCGTTTATGCACCCTTTCCAGTTCAATAACATCATTCCTGTAGCAGGGCAACCAGAATTGTGCACAGTATTCCAAATTTGGCATTACCAATATTTTGTACAGATGTAACATGATGTCCTAACTCTTGTACTCAATACTCTGACCGATGAAGGCAAGCATGCCAAGCATCTTCTTCACCACCCTGCCTACCTATGATGCTGCTTTCTAGGGACTATGTACTTGCATCCCTAAGCCTATCTGTTTGGCAACACTCCTCAGGTCCCTACCATTAACTGCGTAAATCCTGCCCTGGTTTGTTTTACCTAATTGCAGCACCTCGCATTTATCAGAATTAAACTTGATCTGCATTCCTTGGTCTTGGCCTAGTTGATCAAGATCCCATTGAACTCTTAGATAAGCTTCTTCACTTTCCACTATATCACCAATTTTGACGTCATACGTAAACCCACTAATGATGCCTCCTATACTCTCATCCAAATCATTTCTATAAATGACAAGCAACAGTGGACCTAGCACTGATCCTTGCAGCACCCTTCTGGTCATGGGCTGCCAATCTGAAAAACAACCCTCTACCACCACCAACTCTCTCCTATCTTCCTGCCACTTTTGTATCCAATTGACTAGCTCCCCCTGGATCCCATGTGATCTAACCATACCAACCAGTCTACTGTGCAGTATGTTGTCAAAGGCCTTTCTAAAGCCCATGTAGACATTTACCACACTATTCTCATCTATCTTCTTGGTCACCTCTTCAAAAAACCCAATCAAATTTGTAAGATATGATTTCCCATGCAACAGGATTTCAGTACAAAAGTACTGAAATCCTATTATGTGGGAAATCATGTCTTACAAAGTACTGAAATCTTACTTCAATTAAGTAGGAACTTGGTTAGACCAACATCTGGAGTGTTGTGTGCAGTTTTGGTCTTCTTATCTTCAGAAAGATATTATTGCCATAGAGGGAGAGCAACAAAGATTCACCAGATTTGTTCCTGGCATGGCTGGAGTGTCCTATCAGGAGAGATTGGTAAAACTGGGCCTATATCAGAAAATTTGTATTTAATATTCTCTCTCTTTATCTAGGTCATTAGTATTGATTATAAATCATAGAGGCTTCAGCACTAATCCTTTTGGAATTCCACTGGTTATAGCTGCCAACTTGATGAAGTGCTATTTATCCCTACTGTCCTTCCTGTCCATTAACCAATCCTACATTCATGCTAATGTTGCCCCAAAATTCATGAACCTTTGTCTTCCTTGGTAACATTTTGTGTGTCACCTTCTTGCCTGTCTTTTAGAAATCAAAGTACATTGCATCTAGTGGCCCTTTTATTTACCCTATCCGTTACATTCTTAAAAACTCTTAATAAGTATTTCATAAAAATGATGTTAACTTGTCTGATTATACTGTGATTTTCAACTTCCATAATAGATTCCAGCATCCTGCCAATGATTTTTTTTTCTTTACTCATTAACAGGATGTGGACATCGCTGGCCGGGCAGCATTTATCGTCCATGAGGATAGGTCAGAGTCAACCACATTGCTGTGGGTCTGAAGTCACATATATGCCAGACTGGGTAAGGATGGCAGTTTCCTTCCCTAAAGGACATTAGTGAACCAGATGGGTTTTTCTGACAATCGACAATGGATTCATGGTCATCATTAGATTCTTAATTCCAGATATTTTTATTGAATTCAAATTTCACCATCTGCTGTGGTGGGATTCAAACCCAAGTCCCCGGAATGTTATCTGGGTATCTGGATTAACAGTCGAGCGATAATACCACTAGGCCATTGCCTCCCCTATATAAGAACATAAGAACTAGGAGCAGGAGTAGGCCGTCTGGCCCTTCGAGCCTGCTCTGCCATTCAATAAGATCATGGCTGATCTTTTCATGGACTCAGATCCACTTACCCGCGTTCTCACTGTATCCCTTAATTCCTTTATTGTTCAAAAAAAATCTACCTTTTTTTTTAAAAACGTTTACTGAAGTAGCGTCAACTACTTCACTGGGCAAGGAATTCCATAGATTAACAACCCTCTGGGTGAAGAAATTCCTTCTGAATTCAGTCCTAAATCTGCTCCCTCTAATCTTGAGGCTATGCCCTCTTGTCCTAGCTTCACCTGCCAGTGGAAACATCCTCTCTACTTCTATCTTATCTATTCCCTTCATAATTTTATATGTTTCTATAAGATCCCCCCTCAATCTTCTGAATTCCAATGAATATAATCCCAATCTACTCAGTCTCTCCTCATAAGCCAAACCCCTCAACTCCGGAATCAACCCAGTGAACCTCCTTTGCACCCCCTCCAGTGCCAATACATCCTTTCTCAAGTAAGGAGACCAAAACTGCACACAGTACTCCAGGCGGGGCCTCACCAGCACCTTGTACAGCTGCAACATAACCTCTCTGCTTTTAATTTCAATCCCGTTAGCAATGAAGGACAAAATTCCATTTGCCTTCCTAATTACTTGTTGTACCTGCAGACCTACCTTCTGTGATTCATGCACAAGGACACCCAGGTCCCTCTGCATAGCAGCATGCTGCAACTTTTTACCATTCAAGTAATAATCCTTTTTACTGTTACTCCTACCAAAATGTATGACTTCTCATTTATTTACATTGTATTCCATCTGCCAGACCTTTGCCCACTCACTCAATGTATCTATGTTCCTCTGCAAAGTTTCACAGTCCTCTGCACACTTTGCTCTGCCACTCATCTTAGTGTCATCTGCAAACTTTGACACCCTACACGTGGTCCCCAATTCCAAATCATCTATATAAATTGTAAATAATTGCGGGCCCAACACCGATCCCTGAGGCACACCACTAGTCACTGACTGCCAGCTAGAATAGCACTCATTTATCCCCACTCTTTGCTTCCTGTTAGTCAACCAATCCTCTATCCATGCTAATACTTTACCCTTAATGCCATGCATCCTTATCTTATGCAGTAGCCTCTTGTGTGGCGCCTTTTGGAAATCTAGGTACACCACATCCACTGGGTCCCCATTGTCCACCTCGCTCATAATGTCTTCATAGAATTCCAAAAGATTTGTCAAGCATGACCTGCCCTTCATGAACCCATGCTGCGTCTGCCCAACGGGACAATTTCTATCAAGATGCCTTGCTATTTCTTCCTTGATAATAGACTGAAGCATCCTCCCCACTACAAAGGTTAAGGTAACCAGTCTATAATTCCCCATCTTTTGTCTACTTCCCTTTTTAAACAGTGGCGTCACATTTGCTGTTTTCCAATCTGCTGGGACTGCCCCAGAGTCCAGCGAATTTTGGAAAATTACCGCTAGTGCACCTGCTATTTCTCCCACTGTCTCTTTTAGTACCCTGGGATGCATTCCATCAGGGCCAGGAGACTTATCAATCCTTAGCTCCATTAGCTTGCCCAACACTACCTCTTCCGTAATAATGATTTGTTTCCAGGTCCTCACCTACCTTCGTCTCTTTGTCAATTACTGGCATGTTATTAGTGTCCTCCACAGTGAAGACCGATACAAAATACCTGTTCAATGCCTCGGCCATTTCATCATATCCCATAACTAAATTCCCCTTCTCATGCTCTAAAGGGCCAATGTTTACTTTAGCCACTCTTTTTCGTTTTATATATTTGTAGAAACTTTTGCTATCTGTCTTTATATTCTGTGCTAGTTTTTTCTCATGTTCTACCTTACTTTTCTTTATAGCTCTTTTTGTGGCTTTCAGTTGACCTTTAAAGTTTTCCCAATCTTCTAGTTTCATGTTGTTTTTGGCCACTTTGTATGCCTACTCTTTCAATTTGATAGCCTCCTTTATTTCTTTAGACACCCATGGCAGATTACCCCTTTTCTTACAGTCTTTCCTTTTCATTGGAATATACTTTTGCTGAGCACTTTGAAAGATTGCTTTGAAAGTCCTCCACTGCTCGTCAACTGTCCCACCATAAAATCTTTGTTTCCAGTCTACTTTAGCCAAGTCCTCCCTCATTCTATTGTAGTTCCCCTTGTTCAAGCACAGGACCCTGGTATTGGATTTTATCTTCACACTCTCCATCTGTATTCTAAATTCAACCATACTGTGATCACTCCTTCCAAGAGGATCCCTAACTATGAGGTCATTAATTATTCCTGTCTCATTACACAGGACCAGATCTAGGATAGCTTGCTCCCTCGTTGGTTCCATTACATACTGTTCAAGAAAACTATCACGGATACACTCAACGAACTCCTCCTCAAGGCTACCCTGACCGAGCTGGTTCGACCAATCTACATGTAGGTTAAAATCCCCCATGATAATTGCCGTACCATTTTTACAGGCATTAGTTATTTCTTTGTTTATTGCCCGCCCCAATGCGATGTTATTATTTGGTGGCCTATAGACTACGCCTATCAGTGACTTTTTCCTCTTAGAATTTCTAATTTCCACCCAAATGGATTCAACCTCATTCTCCACAGAACCTATATCATCTCTCAGCACCGCCCTGATGGCGTCCTTGAATATCAGAGCTACACCACCTCCCTTACCTTGCTGTCTGTCCTTCCGAAAAGTCTGGTACCCTTGGATATTTAACTCCCAGTCATGACCATCCTGTAATCATGTCTCCGTAATGGCTACCAAATCATATTCATTCGCGATGATTTGTGTCGTTAACTCATCAACCTTGTTACAAATGCTACGAGCATTCAGGTAAAGTGCCTTTATGCTAGCTTTCTTACCCTCATGATTTCCAACACCTCTAATAATATCTCCCGAGTTATCCTTCCTTTTTGCTTCTTTCATAGTCTGCCTTGAACTTAAACCCTCCTGCACACATGCTAACCTGCTGCTTACCTTTTTATTTACCATCATACTCCCTGTCGTTTTCCCTTTCCCTTCCCCCCAACTCACTAGTTTAAAGTCCTAGTGACCACCCTATTTATCCTATTTATAATTGACATGATTGACATCATGCTGCCTGACCCATAATTCCCCTGTTTTCTTTCTTCACCCTTTCTTCACCTTTTCCTGACATCCAATCCACCAGGACCATTCGAGAATGTAGGAACTTTGGAAAGTTATATAATCAGTGCATCCGTTATCTCTATTGCTATCTTAAAATACAGGCCTTCGGCCCTGGGATTTGTTGGTTTTTAGTTCCTTAAGTTTTTCCAATAATTTTTCTTCACTAATACTAATTACTTTAAATTGCTCATTTTATCTCTCTTACAAAAATGCCCAAGTGTTTGGCTTGCATTTTTTACGGTCTTGCTAAACATATGGCACGATATTTAGCGATTTGTACCTCAAGATCCCTTTGCTCCTCTGCTCACATAGACCTACACAGTTCAAGTAATAAGTAAGTCTTGTAATTTTTCTACTAAAATGTACCAACTCACATTTATCTGATTAATTTGCCAAATAATTTCCCATTCTACAAATTTGTTAATGTCACCCTGTAATTTGTTACATTTCTCCTCAGTATTGACTACATTATGATTCCAGCTGATGTTATTACAGATCCCAGACTGAAATCTGCCTTAGCAAACCATAATTTGTTTTGTTTTGGTTTTTAACAAGATGGTCTCTTAACTTAGACAGAAGCACATTTATTAAGTGAAAGGAAGTAAAATAAATTGGAATAAACCAATCTGTTTGCTTATAAAGCAAATTTGAAGTGTTTTAAACACAGAATAAAAGTAGAATCTTATTAACCTTTATAAATTTCAAATGAAAAATCAACAGCCCTGTACAGTACCCAATAGCAACCTTGTATATAGTCACACCAGTATCTCTTTCTCAGGTACCTCAACAGATGTAAAGTAACTGTGACTTTAATTCCTAAACAAGGACATCTGATAGCTTATTCCTGAGTTTAAACAACTCAACTTCAAGTCTTCTTCAGGGTTTTATCCTAATTCTTTTGGTCTGGGATGATCACTAACTGCTTCCTCTAAGGTAATCTAGTTTACTGTACAATCCCCTTCTCAGGAGCACTGCTCTATATGTGCATCTCCATGCAAGGATTTCACAGAACTGCCCAAAACAAAGTAAAACTGAAACAAAAACGTCTTCCTCCGAGCAATGGGTGTTTCCCTTAAGCTTAAAAGAAAACCTCCCCAAGTCTGGGATAGCAAGAACTGCAGATGCTGCAAGTGTGGAATTTTTTAAAGAGAGCTTCAAGTGTAATATTTCACCCTGCTAAGTTGAAAATTCTTAAAAAAAACACAAACCCATGAGGCTGCCAAAGTACCCTTTACCAACTGTTTAAAAAATCACCATCGCTACAGAAACACATTAACTTCAGACACAGAAAACCCTTATGCCACCGACTCAAAATAGCAAATCCAAACTCAAAATAAATTGTTAACAATATGTATATATCAGACAGTTTATATTACAACTATTACCCCTCAATTTTGTGTCATCCACAAATTTGACTTTTGATTCCAAGTGTTAATAGAACAGAACAGCCTTTATCATCCCATACAGTTGAATGAATGCAGTGAAAAGTTTGTAATGTCTCGTCTTGGCACCATCTCAGGTACAGAGTACCTAGGTACAGATACTTTAAGTGTTGTTACAAAGTAAAACAAAAGGTTAGCAGGGGAATAGAGTTTAAAATGTCCAAATATGGTATTAAAAAGTGACCATAAAGTACTTAAGTTCTAGTCCTTTTCCACCATGAGTCCGTGCCCACCAGCTTCAGAACACGAGACAACACTGCCTCCACATACTGGCTTCCATCCAGGACGTGCTCTGCTGCCGCTCCGGCCCACACTTGCTCTGCTCCCACTTTTGGGACTTGGCCTGCACACTCTGCTGCTGCTGTGGGACTCAGCCTGCGCACGCTGCTGCCACTCCAGGAATCGGCCCGCTCGCTCTGCTGTTGCTCCGGGAATCGGCCCGCTC